AAAAAAAAAAAATATGTTCGCTTAATCATTCATCTGTTACGTTTGTGCTTTATTCTCAGCTATAATTTAATCCATTTTTAATAATCATCATTAAATGTATGTGTGCAGATTTTATTGAATATATGTTTATAGAAATGTATTTATTAACAAAYTTTCTTTAAAAACTGCTTGTAACATTTCAAAACACATTTATCTACTCCTAACGCAGAACCATTTCGACGAACACGTCGTCCACATCGATAACGGCGGCATACACAACAAGCACACCAACAACAGCTGATTCGACTACGTCAATAACGACAACCGGCAGCACCACCACCACACCGTCGACAGCTACAACTACGACACCGATACGCAGGTGAGTTAATAATGTATTAAAAACAYTTTTTATCACAACAAAAAAATATAAATGAAAAATAGCAATCGAAGCAGCTGTCTTAGTCACCATGTGAAGTCTGCTCTCATTGTCTGTCTTTGCTCTTGAAATTCTTTTACTCTTTTTTAGTTTGTTTATAAGAATTATCATACTTTCTTTTTATCACAATCTGACTTCATTTTCTATAATTTCTTATCAACATCATGATTTCCCCCCCCTTCATAGCGCACAAATTAGTGGCAAAGGTGCCACAAGTGCTGCTAGCACCAACAGCAACAATAATAATAATAACAAGAACAACAACAATAATAATACAAATGTCAATAATACGATCACTGCCAATAAYAACGGTAATAATATCAATAATAATGACACTAAACAGTCAACACCATCAAGTCCTGATGCAGCTGCACCAACTACTACTGTCGCCGCCAAACAGAAAATGTCAGCTGGCACAATTTTCAAAAATTTCTTCAAGTAAATATTTTGTTTTATCATCGTGACAGATTTTTGCGCTCTCTTTTTGTTTTGCTGTTGTCTGAACCTAACTTTTATTTCCAATTTTTTTATGCGCCGCTAATGTTTTGCTAATTATTTTTTATGTTTCTTGTTATTACTATTTTTCGCGATCTTTTATTTTTAACTTTTCTTTGTACGTTGCATACTGCTGTTTCTAATCGTTGCTCTAGCTTGTCGTGCAGAAAGTTTTAAATTAAGGAATTAATATTTTTTACAATGTAAATATGGTTTTTGCTTAAACAAAAAAGTATAATTCTTCTTTAGTTGATTCGTCAAAGCAGGTTTGGTGCTTTTCCAACCCCAGGGAAGTAAGAGATTTTTTTTTTGTGAAATATGAGCTATACACCTACATATACATATACCGATATGTTATTTGCTGAATTACCAAAGATAATTTTATAAATCGAAATTCCACTCATAATTTCATAAAATGTCCCATTAGTCCACAATGCCGTTTTCTCTTAAGGAAATTTGAAAGCCTGAAAATGTCCTGCAATTTTTTAGATATAGTTTTGAAATTTCTCCCAAAGGAGGTGCTCATTTGAAGAGAACTGCCAATATCGGACCACTATAACATATAGCTATCATACAAATTGATCGATTAAATTCTAGTCATTATATAGAAAACTTTTTTATTTAACAAGATATCTTCCCGAAATTCGGGAGTTATTATTATACAGGACAGCGGTAAAATCTCTGAAGAAATTGTTCGGAACGAACTGCTATATCATATAGGTACCATACAAACTGGTTGATTAAAATCTAATTCTTGTACAGAAAACTTTTTTATTTAACAAGATATCTTC